GGTTATTTTGCCCCAAGTGGCACAATTTGCTCCACAACAAAGTGCATGTCCAAGCATGTGCTCTGAGGCAAAAAGCCCCGGCTCAAATTTGCACTGCTTCTATTTGAGCTGCTGCAGGCACAAGTGCTTGCATGTGTGCATGCGCCCACCCACATTAACCTGCCACATGTAGCATGGGCATTCCCCGGGGACAAGTAGCAACAACACAAGGTGTGCCCTTGTTACTTGTCCGTGGGGCTAGTAAAGCGACCAAAACGCTGGCTTGCATCCATAGATGCTTCTCAAGCAAATCCCGGGACGTCATTCTCCCCCTGTACTCGGCCTTAGTGAGGCCGCAGCTGGAGTACTGTGTCCAGTTTTGGGCTCCACAATTCAAAAAGGATGTGGAGAAGCTTGAGAGAGTCCAGAGAAGAGCCATGCGCATGATCAGAGGTCAGGGAAACAGACCCTACGATGACAGGCTGAGAGCCCTGGGGCTCTTTAGCCTGAAAAAGCGCAGGCTCAGGGGTGATCTGATGGCCACCTACAAGTTTATCAGGGGTGACCACCAGCATCTGGGGGAACGTTTGTTCACCAGAGCGCCCCAAGGGATGACGAGGTCGAATGGTCACAAACTACTTCAAGATCGTTTCAGGCTGGACATAAGGAAGAATTTCTTTACTGTCCGAGCCCCCAAGGTCTGGAACAGCCTGCCACCGGAGGTGGTTCAAGCGCCTTCATTGAACACCTTCAAGCTGAAACTGGATGCTTATCTTGCTGGGATCCTATGACCCCAGCTGACTTCCTGCCCTTTGGGCGGGGGGCTGGACTCGATGATCTTCCGAGGTCCCTTCCAGCCCTGATGTCTATGAAATGTATTATTTTAAGTGAAATTCTTACTTGAGCTGGCAGAAGACATGTCACCAGCCCATTCTCAAGAGTGTTTATGGGACTCATGGACTGAAAATGAACTACAAATGTTACAGCATCCCAGAAACTCCATTTTAGCTTATGTCATGAACCTGTGTGTTTTGTTTTGTTTTGTTTTTTCAAGTTAGCATGGGCTTTGTGCTGATTCTCCGGAGTGCTACTTAGGTGACCTCTTGAGAAAGTGGAGCACTAATGCATCAAAAGTGTTCTTTTTGAAAAATACCAAACTGATCTTTTAAGAATTGGCTAGGCAGTTCACATATTTTGGTAGGAAAGAATGAATACCCTGGGACAGATTCTCATCACATCAGCAAGGATACTAATCCAGAGAAATTCATTTGTCTTCAATAAAGTTATTTGAGATTTAGCTAGATATGAATGAGATCAAAATCCTTTAGAGAAGTTCCAGTATGGTGGATATCTTTGCTTTCCAAATGTCCCAGGTATTAGCTAGATGGTTCCTAATGAGCCAGACAGTGATCCTGAGCCTGGGGAGCCCTTTAAGTATTCTAGACAGAGGCATTAACCTAATTGGAGCTCAGCATCCTGTGCGCGCACTGCAACTCTGCGATATGCAGCAGAGCAGCGAGAGCTAACAGAAGTTGGGGAAAGCCATTTAGCTTGGCTCCTGCCTTCAGTGCAGTTAATAGCATGTGGTTGTGGTTTCCCTGGTTTAATTAGCCTTCAAACCTTTGGGATCTGCACTGTGGGAGCTGCCACTCTTAAATAATTAACATTTGTCCGGGACTAATGTGCCTCTCTCTTTACTTCATTCATCTTTCAGAGCGTTTCTCTTCCAGCGAGTAGCAGTTTTGGAACTGAAGTGTCACATTTTCAGCTGTCTCTGTAGCTAGTCTGATGCCTTCTCTCTTTCAGAAAGTCACTCTATGTGGGCGTCAGTGACTAGAAACAGCAAAGAAATTATAGAGCCTGATTATACAAGCTTAGAGAAACTTTTCTGTGATCCACAAACCAGTACTGAGAAGAAAACAGTTTCTAAGCTAAAGAAATCAAAAGAGGTATTTGGTTTTCCTGGGTCTTAGAGACTACATAGAAAATTAATTGTGGAAAGCAGTCTTTTTTTAAGGCAACTTATAATAGTTTCCTATATTTTACATCATAAGTCACTCTTCATTCTTATTAGTCTTTCCTAGCAGTCTGTAAAGAAGTCTGGGATACAGTCACTCTCAGTGCCCATGCTAGATTAACACTGTATGGAATAAACTGTGTTACAGTGAAAAATAAATAGTGCCATTGAAATTTAGATAGAATAATTCAGCGAGCCAAACACACAGCTTGAAGGGGGTGGATCTGGGCCCCTTTTCCACGCTGCCACATACAAGCTGCAATAGTTTGGATAAATGATTTAATCATTCTGTATCTGTTCCTTTATCTGTAAACTGGAGATGATGATACTAAGCTCCACTGTATATTGCTTTGGGCTTGATCTCTGACATATGATGAGTACTTGTTAGTATAGGAAGGAATATGTCGGGCACTAGCAGCAACGAGGAGCTGTCTCCTAGATTTTTATTGAAATGTTTTCCTTCATTTTTTTTTCTCCTCTGATTTGTATTTCTTTAAACAGGTCACACATGTAAATACAAAGAAAAGTCTCCTTTTGAACATATTTTTGAAGCAATTTAAATGGTAAGGTTTCGCCAATACCTTCTCACAATATAATATAAGGGTGCTACGCAAATAGAAATCAATTCAACAGAAATACTTCAGATCAACTTAAAGAATTTTTAGTAAGGAGTCAAATTTTACTTTTTATAACAGTAAAAAACACATGGCAATTTGTCTTGGGGCTAATAAAACCATGTTTTGGACTGTGTTTGATCCAAGGCTGAATGAATCACTGTTCAAGAAGGACTATTTTCAGAAATAATAAAGGACTCATTCAGAGCAGGGCATATGCTGGGTATTTTTTACATAAATATCAATTTATGACATGACCCATTACTGGAAAATCCTAATTGGAAAGTCTAAATGTGTGTAGTAATTAAATTCTAGAGAGAGACTTCCAGTAGTTCAGAGCCAAAAATCGATTTACAGACTTGTTTTTCAGAGTGGGGACCTATTACACAGTAGACTATTGACCTGCGGAATATAGCTAGTCAACGAAGCCTCTTTTATAGAGGTTATCCCTAAATTATCACTTTATGGATTTTGGGCTCCTTCCCTCTCCTCCATAGAATAAAGTCACCTCTATGGAGATGCGTTTCAGTGGACTCCCACTAAGCCCTGGCTATTCCAGGCTGTATCTTAAAGAGAAGAAAACCATACCCGCAAGGCAGCTCTATAGAGAAGATAAGTCAGCCTGGGGCTGATGTATCTTGTGCATCATAACTCCGTGTTGTATCTGAAATAGGGGAGTAGGAGGAGAGGAGCAATAATGTGTAAGACACATATAACTGCTTCTTCCACCTTTATTGGTCCCTAAATTAGGGGACAGGTCCACCTGAAAACAGAATGGAGGCTTGGATGTGTTGCAAAGATAGTTGAGCCTCTCCTGCCATTTGAGTGATACGAGCATGAGGATCTCTACTTTCCACTCTGAAGGGCATGATCAACCAACACTAATGCAACATCTTGGGCTTCACAGGACTGTAATTAGAGCAGGCAGAATTCATCCCAAATATACCTTGTTTCTCAAAGTTTGGGGTAGAAAATGAGGTCAGAAGGCATTAAGCATAGAACCCTATGGTTTGGGGTTTTTTTCCTTCCAGAGCTTTTTATTTAGTTTTGTTTTTCTTCACTGAAAGGCGTGTGTATGAGACCATCTTTCCCAGTGATAATGGATACGAGGGCTAAAAATAAGGCCACCTCAGTCTACTGCAGAAGCTGCATGTAGTACAAAAATAATAGGAAAACTACATTAAACTTTTTTTTTTTTTTTTAAATCTTGCCATTTTATTGGTAGAATGGTACAAAGAAAAACACTATTTTCTTGCCAAACCTAGGATCATAGAAATAATGATGGGTATGTGAGGTAGGGGAAAATGATCTAAGTTTCATTCTGAGCTTGATCTTTTATGTTTGCACTGTTCAAGATATTACTTACATTATGTTGTTGCTTCTAAGCTCATGCTTCTCTTCTCAGCTCAAATGAAGAGATAGTCACCATGATTCAGAAAGGGGACACATCCAAGTTTGATGCAGAAGCTCTGAAGCAGCTGATTAAACTATTGCCTGAAAAGCATGAGGTACTAATAGTATTTGAAAATATTGAACAGGGGTACTGATAAAGGCACAGTCTCTGCTATCTCACGACTTATGTTGTAAGGGCCAGATCTAGTTACTGGATCCAACTGTGTAGACACCTGTGCCAAAGTGTATTGTAATCAGTGAGCATCTAGACTATAATGGAAGTGGGCCTTCCCACATTCATCCTATTGCAGGGTCTGGGACCAGGAAACAAATATTGGATAATACCCCATTGAAAGGTTTGGAAAATGGCTATGGCTCAGTTTTGTATGGTGGTCCTAATTCTCTGTGTAAATCTGATGGATGATGATACTGTAATATTTCATATTCAATGTCATACTGAAGTGTGTGGCTACTTGTGGTCCCCTCTGAGGAAGCAGCCTTTCAGGAGGGGTTTCAGGTGAAGAATGGGGAAATGCCTGAGTTTAGAAGTGTTGTGAACCTAGACTTCAACAGTATTGGTGGCATATTGGTTCTGAAAAGTTAAGTTCATGTGTGGGAGAGGGCGGGGGGGAGGGGTGTTACAGACCAAATTTAATTAATAGTGCTAACTGTTTTGTTCCTTGTTAGATAGAGAGCCTGAAATCCTGCAAAAAAGCAAAATCAGAACTAGCAAATGCAGATCAATTTTATCTCCTCCTCCTCAGTGTCCCTAGGTAAGGGAAATCTTAACTAACTTCAGCCTTGATGTGAACGTCTAAGGACCGTCAGAATGGACCTTAAGGCTGCTTGATGACTCCACTGTTGGATGAACTAGTTGCTGGAGGTGGTCATATCATCCCCTTAGCGATATGTACTGTGTGTCTGTGTGTGTGCCATACAGTACTGACCATCTTTCCTGCTGTTCTTGCCTTACTGAGACAAATCGGCAGAAACACAGTAGTTCCATACTCCTCACAAGAACCAGGAATATAGTCACATCCTGCAAACCATAGAGCTGTTCTCTAAGAAATCTGAAGGCTTAATGATCCTGTGCTTGGAGAGAGTTGTTTTTTTTTTTAAAGCCTTTTGTAAAGTTAGGTAAAAATGTGCATCTAGTGATTTCCTTCAAATTGCATATACTGTATTGCTTTAAAATTACCCTTTTAAAATGCTTTCTTTGCTGGTTTAGAATTCTTATGTTTTTGCTATGGATCGCTACCAAGAGTTCAGGATGTCCATGCTGCCAAAACTGTTTCTTTATTGAGAACAAGATAAACCGACCCAGAGCTATACAGTTGTTGGATAATACCATCATATCATTGACAGTAGTTTTATTGCATAGACTACAATATGATATGACCTGTATGGGCATTCTAGGAGAAATATTGTAATTCTGTACAGGGAATTTATTTGAAATGTATCTAGAAGACTTTGATTTATCTAGAGTCCCATTTAGTTAGAGAAATATCTTTAGGAGAGGGCATTAAATAGAACAAAATAACACTTTTACATTATTCAGAAATAACCTGGACACGGTTCAGTTAATCCTGCTGCATTTTTTGCATTGACTTTGTCTTTTAGCTACAGTATGCGGATTCAATGCATGTTGTTGTGTGAAGAGACAAGAATTCTCTTGGATATGCTACGGCCCAAAGCACAAATGATCAGGATAGCCTGCGAGAGTAAGTTGTTATCAGTGATTTGTGCTCAACGCTATAGGAAGATACACTTCTATTTGAACTGAAATAATGGTGTGATATGCTAGAATCAAGAGAAGATGGGTCCTTTATTATGTGAACAAGAAGCCTGTGTAGATATTGAGCCACAGATTCCCATTTCTGCTTAGTACGGGACTGCAATGTGTGCAGTGCAGCTCTAAGATGAACTGACTGAATGAGGAATGGATAAAGAAAACAGCAGGTTAAAAGTCTAGAGATGCTGGCTGTCTCCTACTAAAGCTCTCTCCTAGTAGGGAGGAAAATGTTCCAAATTCCATATCTAGGTGCTTTTAATATAAGGTAGACTCAACTTTTGTGCAGACCTTCTCTTTCTGTAATCCTTAGGGAACATGGGCAGGAAAATAAATCTTGGTGGCCTTCTTGAGGGTATATTGCTCAAGACCTTCTCATGGCAAAAGGACCCCCTGGTGTGATCACTCAATATGTGGATAGACTGTTAACAAGATCAGCTTGCTCACAGATGCTGATATTTCAGTCTTGCTTATGTCTTTTTGATTCAACTTCTTATTTATTCTTCTTCCCTTTTGCACTGACATAGATTCATAGAACACCTCCTGTACCTGGCATGTTTCCAAATCCATAAAAAAAAAGCCAACTATTTATCTAGATAAGAGTTTTGTACCATCTTGGTTCAAATTTCATGTAAATCTAGTTTCAAACTGTTTAATTTTATTTAAATGATTGCTTTTCATTTTTCAGCGCTTCTTACTAGTCGTCGACTGCCAATTTTCTGTTGGTTGATTCTTAAAGTTGGAAATTTTCTCAACTATGTAAGTAAGCATTTTTTAAAGCAATATATTTTTAGATGGAAAGTATAATTGTAGCCTAGTATTTCTTGTGTGTATAAAATAATACAAAATGGATAGTAAAAGCTTTTTTTGTTCTGTTAAAATGAAACTAGGATTTTTTTTTTTCCATCTTCTAGGGACGGCACACTGGAGATGCTGGTGGCTTTAAAATGAGCACTTTGCTCAAATTAACAGATACCAAAGCAAACCAAAACTCTATTACGCTACTCCACCATATTTTGGAGGTACTGCTGCAGTTTTATGTTGAAGTCAGCTGTAGATGTGCTGTTTCCTGATGTATTAATGCTAACGTGCATTAATTTCAAATGCATCTCCATTTAAATGTGTAAGAGTTGATCCTGTACCTACTGAAACTAATGAGAACTTTGCTACTGAACTGAGCAAAACCAGGATCATGCCTGTATACAGTATTGTTCAAAAAGATCATAGACCTCTTCCTTTTCTTTAAAGTTCTTTGGTGACTTCCCTAATCTTTGCACTTCATTTATGCACTGCCCCAAAGCTAGAGCAAGTCTTCCAATGTTGGTTGCCAAATGCAAAGAATTTTGTGTTCCTATTACTGAAATGGATCCTTGCTTACCACTGCACTATGGTTGTATATTGACCAGGAGCACTGAGAAATCTCTTTACAACAGTGGTTTTCAACCTGTGTACCATGGACCCCAGGAGTCTGTAAAAGATTACTATGATCAATCAAAAGTATGCAAATACCCACACACAATTCAACTGGGTCCGCACCTCTGTTCAAAATTTCCAAAGGGGTCCGCACTTCAATTAAAAACATTTTTTAGAGGTCTGCAAGTGAAAAAGGTTGAAACCACTGCTCTATAATGAAAAGTGATCCTGCACTGAGTTTGAAAAGATGTTTGGGGCAGTGGCATACTGATGGGGGTGTGAGAGGGGGACATGGCTCCTAGACACCAGTCTGGGGGGTGGGTGCTGGCTGGGCCCTTCAGAGCCAGGCAGGGAGGCTGCAGCACCTCCCACGTTTGCTGTGTAGTTCACCCACCCCAACGCCCGGCGGGTTGTAAGTTTCTTTACCTATTCTAGCCTCCACGCATCCCACGCTGTTAATTTCCCTGTGGAAATACCATGGGAAGGGAGAGGGGGCCCCGCACCCTGCTCAAGTCATCCCCGGGGGGGTGCAAATGCAAGCATTGGCCCCCGGGTGCTGGCGACCCATGGTACACCACTGGTTTGTGGGCGTTCTTTGTTTTGTTTTCTCTTTCTCTCTGCTTTGGCAATCCACCTCCTGGCACTGGTAAGGCAAAGTAAAGGGGCTGTGGTTGGAGAGAAGGTATGATCATGCTCCCATGCCATACTAGTTTTTGTCTCCTTTTTGGGCATTATGGTCACTGGAAATTCAACAGTCATTGAGTTACTTTGTTAACACAGTACAACAGCAACTGCAAAAGAGCCCTGGAATCGGAGCATTGCATAGGAGAGCTCTGAACCATCTTTTTATACAAACCCCTGACTTGACCTTGTGCATTTTAGCTCCGCACAAGATTTGGGCCCAAAGACTGCAAATGTGTAGAAGCAATATTATGAAAGTAGGGTAGAATGCTTCCTTTAGATGTATCGGAGAGGTATTTAGTAGCTGTGTTGGTCTGAAACCAAAAGAAATGCACAACTCTAGAACTCTTGGTTCAGAGATGATACCTTTTATTAGGCCAACTAAGAAATTGCAAAAAAAAAAATAAAACTTTTTTTTTTCTTCTTAGTTGGCCTAATAAAAGGTATCATCTCTGAATCAAGACTTCTAGAGTTTTGCATTCCTTTAGATGTAGTGTTTTATCCTACATGAGCCCCAATAGCAAGGCACCACTTTTCCAGAGTACAACTGTAAGAAAGCTAATAAGGGGTTAAATTTACCCAATACATGTAAGTAGGGAGATCGAAACATTAACATCTCAAGCCTGACTTTTTAAAACTTTTAAGCCTGTGTGTGTATGTCCTTGTATATTTGGGCAATAAAACTGCCCATGCAAAGTAACAATCTTTTACTTAAATTTTAGGAAGTTGAAAAAAACCACACAGACTTGCTCCAGCTTCCCAGTGATCTTGACTGTGTTGCAAAGATAGCAGGGTAGGAATTTTTTAAATGTCTAATTTCGAATCCATATATACTGGAGTGAAATTTTAGTGGTGATGGTAATCAAGTCATTTAAGCAATTTGATCAATGAGTTTGGCCTGTAGACTGGAAATCAGAAAAATGCCTCTAACTATTATACCAGTGAGGTTCAGAAATAGCCTTCTAATTGAACTAATGGGAGGGAGGGGGAGGCAAACAATGCAATTTGTTTTATGATGAAGCTTGGTTGTTTATGAAAGGGATTATATTGTGTAGTTGCCTACAATAGCAGTGGGTGGGCATGTTGACCCAGGTGGCTCTTTCCTATCTTGTATTCCTAGTTACATCTCCACAACAGTTTTTGCATGATCTTTGATCTCTTAACTAAAAGGGCTAATTGTTTTCACCCAGTCCGATTTACTGCCTCTGTTGAATTTTCAGAATCAACTTTGAAGTTGTAAAGGCAGAAGCAGGTGCCAATATAAAGAAACTCTTGGAAACTGAGCATAATATAGCCTCATCAGTAGATGATTTGAAAGTGCAATATGGAAAATCTATTCAGGTAAGTGGCATGGGTCTGATAAATCCTACACTTCCCTCTTCCAGAATAATTTTAAACCTGTGGCATCAGAGCTCAGATCACAAACGAGTCTAAAGATGGAGCGGGGGGAGGTCACTGGTAGGAAGAGGTCCAAAAATGTCTTTTTTTTTCCCAGTTTCTTTAACAGAGAAGCAGGTGTCAAGACAGGAATTGAACAGATTGTCTGTTATACATGTAGGATACCATAGTATTATGGAAAGAATAATATTTTATATTATTAAGGGAATATTGGTTAAAAAAATGAAAATGGCACCTTTATTTCAAAAACTGTTCACCTTCTGGAAGAAAAGTAATATTTTTCACATATGTTTTTAAGCATTGATTATTACAGGTCTGGTCCTGGACTGTTTAACTTAAGATAGTTAAATAGAAAGTAGGAGCAGCTTAAACAGATCTAAATGCTTTGGCCTCTTCTACACATTACTGGTATCGTGCAATTACCTGGTTTATGGTGCAATTACCTTGAGACCAGCTGCATATGCAAAGTACTTATCACACAATAAAAAGCTCCAACCGGCTATAAAATTAGACTTTGAAAATGTATAGTGACTTTATAGCCAGTTGCAATCGAGCTTTAATTTGCTATTGAACCCACCAGCTGACAGAGGTCCCAGCCACAGGGGTGCACCTTGCCCAGCCAGGGTTTCAATCCCGTAACTGCTAGGGACTCGGCCCCAGCAGCATCCTGTAGCTGAAACCTCCAGGGTAAGAGAATCACCTCTGCCCCACCCTGGAGGTGCATGAAACCCCTGGGCAGGAGGATCACCCCAGGGACAGTTCCCCCCATCCTAGGGGTGCATGAAATCCCCAGGTAAAAGAATTGCCACAGTGGCAATCCCCCCACTCGGGGGGGGGGGGGGGGCCCTACAGCTGGGAACCCCTCAACTGTGATATGAGGGGCTCCCAGCCATAGGAGCTTCTTGCCACTAGGGGGAGATGGGGATTGGGGTTCCTCTGCATTAGCAATAAGGCATAATGGGATCTAATGTGCAATCCCATAATCATGTCTCCTGCCATGCACCTGTGGCATGGCAGGAGTTGTGATGGTGTGACTCGCATATTTGATCCCATCGTGCCTTTATCTGCATGTGTAATATACTGATATATTCCCAAGGTAAACAATACACCATTGCATCATTTTTCAGAGTTTAGCATTTCATGTTTTGAAAAAAAAGTTCTAGAAGTAAAGTTGTCATTAATTAAAGTCAGGAAGGGAGTCACGTTCCCATGAACTCTGCTGGGGAAAATTGTATGCCTGCTAGAACAATATGGAGAGTATCATATTGCATACTCAGTTTTAACTGTACCTAAATTACTGTTTTCAAAGCAAGAAGCTATTGGAATTCTATCTCAGTTTTTCAAAAAAACAAAACAGACCAGAAAAACCTTGCTCTAATCTGTTCACTAACTTGTCCTCTGGGTAAGAGATTATTTCCCTTCTTGACTTGAATAAATTGTGTTTGTAAATGTGTCTCAGGACAGTATAAAAGCTTCAAAAGAACTGGAGGAGGAGATTGACACCATTGAAAAGAAGAAGGCAGAACTTGCTGATTATCTCTGTGAAGACAGAAACATGTTATCACTAGAAGATGTATTTAACACGATGAAAACCTTCAGAGACCTCTTTATCAAGGCACGAAAGGTGGTTTGCATTTGTGAACATTTAGGGCTAGATTGTAATTTCAGTTCAGCACTTGTGCAAGAAAATATGACTTCCTCTCCTACTCCTTTATATTTTTAGGCCAGGTACAGACATTCAGGGAGGTTAGGGAAAGGCTAGATCACATTAAAAATGGCCACCCAGTCTAACTTAGTTCACCCAGATGCAGACCTTACATTAGTTAGGTTGATCTAAGTGCAAACTGTACAGAAGTTCCCAGAAGGTTAGATCCATCTAAAAATGGCTGACTCGGTCCAAGTTAACCCTGCTTCCAAGGTAATCTAACTAAGATCTGGTTGACCATTCTTAGACCGATCTAACTGTCCTGAACTATTGTACAGTTCCTAGAACAGCCCTAAGTCTGGGAAAGCCCAGCTGCTGGCCTAAGGGATGCACTTTCCCTATCATGTCCCTGGCACCAGACTACCTTTAGCCACCCCCTCCCCCTGAGCCCACCAAACCCATCTCCCCCATCCCATATGCTGCTCCAGGTGCTGGTTTTACCCACATTTGCCAGGGCCAGGAGCTGAGCAAGTAAGTCAGGGTGAGGGAAAGGGCAGGCAGGATGTGGGAGTTGTTCATCTAGGGATGGGGGGGTTGGGGAGCTAAAAATAGCCCCTGGTCTCAGGGGGTTGTGGGGAGAGCACCCCTCCCACAGACCTCATGAGTCCCTCTGATTTTGACAAACCCTCCTGGACCCCAGCAACCCCTCCACAGACCCCACTTGCCCTGCAGACCCTGCCTGACCCCCCCCCCCCCCCCCCCCCCCCCCGCCCCCCCCCCCCCCCCAGCTCCCTCCCTGCTAACCCCACTATTCTGGCTTGCCTTAGATACGGTGGCCGTTTTTAACTCGATCTTGAATATTTGTAAGCAGCCTTAGATGGGCTACCCTACACTTCCGTCAGTGTGTGAGACTGTATCTGCATCACTACCTAGTGCTGCTTCGAGCCCAAACCTGATGACCATTCACTTAAAACAATCTTTGGCTTGCCTCTGGAAGTTGTGCTGAACACCAGAACGTGAGGCCAATCTTCTCCCTCCATGTGTCTCCCATTCAGTGTGTTTAGGACTCCCCTAGCTAAAGACTGAAAGCAGAGGCAGGCTGCCATCATCCAACATACAACCCTTCTGTATTCTACTTTTGTCTCAACTACCCATAACCAGAGGACAAGCACAGATGCTCAAGTGGAGTCCTGCTAGGAATCAGTCTGCCCACAACTTGTCTTTTCTTCTGTGTTTGGCCTGTAGTTGGAACAAGGTAATATAGACAGGAAGGGGCTGCTCATGTGCCTTGGGCTAGTTAGGGGTAACCTTAGTGTCAACCCTAAATAACAAGGTAGACATACCCTGGATTCAAATAGAGCTACCTCCATGCTTGCTTTGTCCCCAGAGCAGGTAGGCAAGAAATGAGCATATAAACTGATACAAAAACTCAGGCCCTGTAGCAAAGCTGCCCTAATGGGTCAGGCACTCCTCAAAATTATCTTAATGATGTGGACTATATGAAGGCAGGTGAGTAAAATGGATATGTTACACAAGGGAGTAAACTTCTTACTGGATATTGGGAGTCAGAACCCAGGAGGGAAGGCATATCAGAGGACTTGTGTACCTGGGTCTTCCCATGCCCAGCCCCATACAGAAAAAATCATCAGAAAACTATGCTGAATACAGAAAACTATACTGGGCCCAGTTAAAACAAAGGACAGGGAAGGGATGCTCTCGGTACTAATTCCAGTGAATACTCAAAACAGCAGTGGTACCTGAAGCAAGTGGACCAGAGCTGACCTTTTGCCCCATCCAAAGGTGATATGGCAAATAACACTTCAGACAGCATGGCAAACCCCAACAAACCACTGAGAGCACCCTTTGCCCTATACATAACGTGAAGTTCAAATAGGAGGAGGATTATCAAGATAGATGGGAGTGGTATGATGCAGCAGATATGGACAATGTGCAGGAACCCCACATGGATGACACTATGAAGTTGCCCGTGAGGGGTAATAGTGTCTGTAAGTTCTGTGTACTGTATGCCAATACTATCGCATATGGAGATTTAAACTGTATAACCTGGGTGCAAGCTGCCCATTTACATTCGGGAGCACTCTACCTGGTTGACATTAAACCCCGCTTCTGCTAAGCCTGCTGTATTCAGCATCTAGTCCAGAGACTGAAGTGTTTCTAGATCTATTTCCCTA